ATCATACTCTTTGTATGTTCATCCTTGTCACACGAGTGTGATTGGGTTTATACCCCTTAACCCCTCTATGCGAAAGTGTAGTTTGGGTTGTTCTTGTACCCCTCTACGCGAAAGTGTAGTTGGTTTGTTCTTGTTTCTTTCTACACATAAGTGTAGTTAGGATTGTTTCTCGTCCTCTCCAAGTGAAAGTGTAGTTAGGGTTGTTTCTTGTCCTCTCTACGTGTAGTTAGGGTTGTTTCTTGTCCTCTCTACGCGGAAGTGTAGTTAGGTTTGTTTCTTGTCCTCTCTATGCGGAGGTGTAGTTAGCATTTCTTGTCCTCTCTACACAGAAGCATAGTTAGGTTTGTTTCTTGTCCTCTCTATGCGGAAGTGTAATTGGGATTTCTTGTACCTTTCTACGTGGAAGCATAGTTAGGTTTGTTTCTTGTCCTCTCTACGTGGAAATGTAGTTAGGATTTCTTGTACCTCTCTATGCGGAAGTGTAGTTAGGTTTGTTTCTTGTCCTCTCCACGCAGAAGTGTAGTTAGGATTTCTTGTCCTCTTTACGCGGAAGCGAAGTTAGGTTTGTTTCTTGTCCTCTCTACGTGGAAATGTAGTTAGGATTTCTTGTACCTTTCTACGCGGAAGCATGGATAGGTTTGTTTCTTGTCTTCTCTACGCGGAAGTGTAGTTAGGATTTGTTGTACCTCTCTACGCGGAAGTGTAGTTAGGTTTGTTTCTTGTTAGCCTTTCTACGCAAAAGTGTAGCTAGGTTTGTTTCTCAACCTTTCTACGCAGAAGAGTAGTTAGAATTGTTTCTTAATCTTTCTGCGTGGAAATGTAGTTAGGATGGTTTCCTGTTAACCTTTTTATGCGGAAGTGTAGTTAGGATTGTTTCTTGTCAACCTTTCTACACGTAATTGTAGTTAGGATTGTTTCTTGACCTTTCTACGCGGAAGTGTAGTTAGGATTGTTTCCTGTTAACCTTTCTACGTAGAAGTGTAGTTTGGATTGTTTCTTGTCAACCTTTCTACGCGAAAATGTAGTTAGGATCGTTTCCTGACCTTTCTACGCGAAAGTGTAGTTAGGAGTGTTTCCTATTAACCTTTCTACGCAAAAATGTAGTTAGAATTGTTTCTTGACCTTTCTACGCGGAAGTGTAGTTAGGATTGTTTCCTGTTAGCCTTTCTACATAGAAGTGTAGTTAGGGTTGTTTCTTGACCTTTCTACGCAGAGGTGTAGTTAAAATTATTTCCTATTAACCTTGCGGAAATATAGGTAGGATTGTTCCTTGTTTACCATACGTAGTGTGGCTTATGCCCAATTTTTCATTTTTGAGCGGTATGCTCGTTCATGGTTTCACTTGTTGTACTGCATTGAATCTCATCTTCATAATTTTCGAACGGTATGCTCGCTTGTGTTCTCAACTGTTGCATCATATCATATATCATTAGCATCGTGCCCCTGAACTACACTGGTTTGGGTCCTTGCAAAGGGATACATAGGCAACCCTCGAGTTCAACCAATTGCATCTGCATTTTGATTTCTTGTCCAAGTCTTACATCCTTGTCAAAATGAGTCATATCTGGGCTTTGACATTCACTCACGTCATTTCATGACTCCGAGCTTTGTCAAAGAGAGGAAACTGTAGACACCCCATTTTTGACCACCCTTAAGATTTAGGCGCTTCAAGTTGATTACTCAATGATAAAAAGCTACACTGTACAAAAGTTTGATTTCTTCAGCAAGAAGCCTCGGTTTTGAGTTTCAAAGCCTAGAACCTAGTACCCCTTTTGAGCCAAAACCTACTTTTTTTTTTCTAGCTTGACCACCTAGAGGCATGATGGCCAACCGGTGGTTGGCTGGCCAAAAATTAGTGGCCGGCCGCCCCTCACTTGGCCGGCCAGCCAAGTTTCCCGACAAAACAGATATTTGTTGCCAATTGTCCCCCCATATGCATGCACTGCACCAGCTGGCTCAATACAGATATTTCTGAGATAGCAACCTGTTTTGCTATATATACTTGACCATCCCTTATGGTTTTAGATTAGAAAAAATTATCAAAGCTCAAATTCTTGCAAAACACACACACACTCTCTCTCTCTCTCTCTCTCTCTCTCTCTCTCTCTCTCTCTCTCTCTTTCTCTCTCTCTTGCAACACACATACACTATACATACACTTCCTAAACCAAAAATTTGAGGCTCCTTGCTGAGGTTCTTGAGCTAACATTTCAACTCGTGAGGGTGATCACTTGTTGGTTTGTGAATCAAAGAGTAACCTCTCTTCAAGAGGTATAACTTTTGCCTTCTTTACACTACTTCTTCCCTCTCTTTTCTTGCCATTTTTATACTGTTTTTGGACTATTTTTATGGGCTGAAACTTGTGACTTAAAGCTACCAAAGGTAGAGGGGTTGACCTCTCTTCTTTGAACCTTATTCCATAAGCTTTTGTCTTTGTGTTTCCTACTTCTTTCTCAACTCTTGGCCACTGATTTTTAGAGTTTTAAGAGGCTAAAACATGTGGCTTTGAGGTCCAAAAAGTGGAGGGGTTAGCTACCCCTCCTTAGGCTTGCTTACTAGCTTCAATTCTCTCCCATTTTGTTTATTTTTTTAAGCTTCCAAACTAATTTTCTAGCACTGTTTTTGCTGTTTTAGGACTGTTTTATTGTGTTTACTTCATTCATGCATTGAATAGTATGCTTATAGTATTGTAGTCCTCATAAGTTTGGTGGTTTAGGCCTTAGACACCAACCTTTTTGAGTTGATAGCTTCTATTTCATAGGTTTTCATACATGTGCTCACACTTGCAATAACCATCTCTGCACTCTCCCTCCTTTCTTGGTTTTATTTTTTTAAGAGTTGTTTCAAACAATCGTTGTTTAAGGCATATGAAAGAGACCTTCCACACTTAATGGTTAAATCTCTTCGGAGGTTCATTATCAAGGCATTACATCTCTCTCATGCCAAGAACTACTGCTTGTTTGACACTTCTCTTCATTAGTGGGTATAATTCTCACTTTCTGACAAACAGATCAAAGAATGGAAAGGTTATTAAAAAAGGCTAATGAAATTGGACTAAAAGAGGCACAAGATAATAAAATGGAGTTGGGTTCAATCGGACGTTATATTAAGTCCATTGAGTCTTGAGTCATTTCATACTCTTTAGTGATGATAATGGCTGAAGAATCAATGTCTACCACTTCCCTTGAGGTAACTCTATGATAGGGAGGAGGTTTTGTTGGTCTTTTATTTTTATTCATTGAGCCTTTGTCCCATTGATCCATAGATCATCATGCAACAACAACCTTGCAACCATTGATGATTTGTGGACCGATTCTACTCCTCCCTTGATCAATTTCATGATAGGGAGAAGCAGAGAGGATAAACATCCCCTGGAAACACTTTGTTTTTGCTCTATTTCCATTCTGTTGTAGTAGGGCAATCCCAAAATTAGTGGCCGGCTGGCCATCCCTTGAATCCAGCCGACCACTTTCCTTGGCCAGCCGGCGACCATTTGTTAAGCAAGTAGTGCCATTATTATGGTAGAACAAAGTAGAGGCTGGGGTGAAAACATGTTAATTTTCTGACTGGGAACAGAACAATTCTGGCAGCATAACAGAGGAGTTTCCAAGTAGATGTTCTTGGTTGCGCGCGTAGTTCTTCAACTCCCGTTCGAATTAATTAGCTTAAATAACTCCCAGATTCATGAGTTGTAAGTACTGTAATTAATTAGCTTTGAATTTGTAATAGCTAGTTCCCTAATTAGTTAGCTTAATTCTGATTTGTAATAATTAGTTAGTGTAGCTAATTTATTCGATGTTGTAATAATTAGTTAATTCGGACATTCATTCGGACCCTCCTACGCGAGAGCAACTTGTAATATTGTGTATGCCTTCCAACCCTCATTCTTTCTCCCTTTTATTTACTCGCTTGTAATGGTAGCATCATATTTTGATTTCATATCATTACCATGTGTACATACCCATGTTTGTATGCATAAGGGTTCAATTAATCATACTACTCAATGTCAAGTTCAAATTCTTTAAATCGAATGCGTGCTCTGTCGCATACTTTGAATTGACTCACAAGCCATGCTAGTAGCCGAACCTAGTCATTGCACGATTGTATGTGTTGCATTAGTCATGTTGCATCGTTACGATCATGTATTTTTCTAACTATTTTTCTTCTATTTTGCCTTGCCTTAGTTGAGTACTAGGTGAGTATTTTTTTTTTTTTTTTTACTTTAGCATATTACATGTGTGCAATTATTGCCAGGACAAGCGTGCGATTATTGCCATAAGGCTAAATATTTAGTTGATATACCTGTTTGAATGCCTGTGGATAAAGAATTTTTCGCTTAAGTTAGGATAGTTTGATTAATATACATATGAGTTCACTTTTTCAAGTGACGCATATTCAAAACAATTTTCAATCAAACATGAAATCAAAGAGCTCCAAATTTGCAAATTAGTCTATACTTGTGTGCATCACATAGTAAAGATAGCATAAATAATCGGAACAAGAGTATATACTGTACATAAGAATCCTATCATGATTAGTAAAGGCCGATCTTTGATTGGGTGAGTGGGGTGTTCAATTCATGACCTTCCCCTCTCATACTTAAGTTCCCGAGCTGAGACACTTTGGTGATGACGGACATGTGGCCTTTGGCACAAGTCACGAGTTTCCTAAATTTCTCCAAAAATATTTAGGTGGCGACTCTGAAATCTGGTAATGCAGTCCATTTTTGGCATTTTTTATTCAAAATCAATTTTTCAAAAGATTTGCCGAATTTGGAGTCTTTTGTGTTTTTCTGTTTCACATTGCACTTGTGAAATCAGATTCGGAACCATGGAGTCCGAACTATAAGGCTATCGTATTAGAGGACACTAAACCTCTCCGAGGAGCATGAAAAGCTAGTTACAAGCTCCAATCGAAAAATGACACATGGCTTAACACAAATTCGGATATAAATCAACACATGCATAACTTGTTCTCCAGTCTTTTTACTGGCGGTGGGACAAGAGATCTATTGGAAGCCCTATCTGTGGTTGAGCCATTGGTTACTAAAGAAATGAACTGCCAATTGATTTCCCTTGTGTGTGATGAAGAGATCCGAGTAGCAGTGTTTCACTTGGGCACTTTCAAGGCTCTGGTTGAATGGATTTCCTGGATTTTTTTATCAAACCTACTGGCAGGATGTTGGAGAAAGTGTTTGCAAAGCGGTGAAAATTTTCTTTTGGGGGGGATCACTTGCTTAAAGAATTAAACTAGACTAATTTATTCTTGATCCCTAAGGTTGCACATCCTATGAAGCTATCACATTTCCGTCCTAATAGCCTATGCAATTTCAATTTAAAATCATAACCAAGATCCTTGTAAACTGTCAAAAATCTTTTTTGAAGGACTTTATCTCTCCAAATCAATCTGTATTTGTTCCTGGACACTTGATTTAAGATAACATTCTTGTGGCCCATGAGGCCTTTCACTCTTCAAGTTAAAGACGCGTGGAATTACGGGTCATATAGCAATTAGACTCGATTTCAACAAAGCTTATGACCGGATATAGTGGGATTTCTTATCCAGAGGATGGGCTTTCATCCTAGATGGACTCAATGGGTAGTTGAATGTGTGTCTACTGTCACACTTTCCATATTTGCTAATGGTGAGAAAAGGGCTTCCTTCAATCTAGGTCGTGGGCTGCGGCAAGGAGATCCCCTATCCCGTTATTTGTTTATTTTGGTTGTTGATATCCTATCTAATCTCTTGACTTGAAACCTCAGAAAAAATCAAATCTCAGGTTTGAAAATCACAAGGCACTGCCCTACTCTTTACCACTTATTATTTGCTGATGATATGCTTCTTTTCCTCAAGGCAGAATCTGGTGAATGTCAGCATGTGTTGGACATCCTTTGAATTTTCTGTGAAGCCTTGGGGAAACAGGTAAATTTTGATAAATCTAGTGTGTAATTCTCATCAAACACCCCACATACAGTCTGTAACTTTATATGCAACTTGTCTAGATTTCAACTCTCTTAACTGGATGCAAAATACTTGGGGTTACCATCTTTCTAGGGTCGATCAAAAGCAGAAGCTTACGAGTTCATGATAGAAAGAATCCTCTCAAAGCTGCAAGGTTGGAAACTGAAATTGTTATCTCAAGCGGGGAAGGAAGCCCTTATTAAAGCAGTGGTCTAAGGTATTCCTGCCTATGCAATTGCTTGGTTCGTCTTTCCCAAAAAATTCTGCACACAACTAAACTCCTATATTAGTAACTTTTGGTGTGGTGGTGATCCAGAGGAGAAAGGGGTCCATTGGATCAATTAGGGGCTTTTGGGTATGTCAACATTTGAAGGAGGCTTGGGTTTCCGTGATTTCAACACTTTCAACATGGCCCTTCTAGCTCGACAAGGATGGCATTTGATGAAATACCCAAACTCTTATTGTGTACGCATTTTGAAAGGAATCTATCTTCTACACTCTAATTTTATGGAAGCTACAAAAGGCCATCGGGCGTCTTGGGCTTGGGCAAGTATCTTACAAGGTAGAGAGATTTTTCAAAAAGGCATCCATTGGTAGGTGAATAGTGGAACTAATGCAAAATTATGGGAAGAAAAATTGATTCCATCTATCCCGGGATTCAAAGCGATTTCTTTGAAGCCCGGAGGAAATGAATCTCAAAAAGTGTGTAGTGCTATTGATTTCTTGACAAAGAGTTGGAAGGTAGATGATCTAAAACTCTATATGTTCGAAGCAGAAGTTAAGGTCATTCGTGTGATTCCCATTGCCCTGGAAACAACACCAGATTCTCTTGTATGGCATTTTGAATTAAGTGTACCTATTCGGTCAAATCGGGATACAATATTGCAATGAAAAAGCTATGCAAATCTCTGTCCTACTTTCCATCTGCCTCCTTTCAACCCCAGAACAGGTGTAGAAGATTATTTTGGCTTTAAATGTACCTCCAAAACTTCAACACTTTTGGTGGAAAGTGCATACAAATGTGCTTGCTACAAAGGACAATCTGTGCAAGAGAAGATGTGTTGTGTCAAATTTGTGTCCTATATGTAAGAATTTATTCTTAATTAGGCTGACATTGGCTATATTTTGTTTGGTTTGTGAAAAACGGGTTGAAAGTGATTCAGATAGATTGACTGGTATGAGCCCAAAATTATTATTGTGCTCCATAAAGTTTTAGGTCATGGTCCATCTTAGTGTATATATTATTTTATATGTGGATATGTGATACAGAGGTGTAAGGCCTGTTTTAAGTTATTTGAGTTCCTTAATGGGAGGGCCCAACAATTGTTTTATTTAGGCCCAGTCCCCTCTCCTATCCTTATTAGGGTTTACATATATCTATATATGTGTAGATCAAAGGGTTGTCAGCCCCATTGAAAAGATAACATAAAGATTAGGAGAAGGAGGGGAAGAGCTGGTGCTAAGGTTTTTCAATTGTGAATGCCATATTCTTTCAAAAAAGCAAAACTCAAGACAATAACGAAATCAAACGGTATGTATCTAAGTTTATATTTTAGTAATTAATTATATTCATAGTGTTTTGATTTATAATATATAGATCCTATATTCTTACATGTGGTATCAGAGCAAGTTTATACTATAATCAAAATCATGGCAGATTATTTTAGTAAAATTATTTTATATAATGATAAGAAATAAATTAATATTGCTTTTACTGAATGATGCTTTTGCATCTCAAAATTATGCTTTAGTAATTTCAAGCAAACTTTTTCAATGTAACGAGTACATACTGTTTGAATATTGATAGTTTGCTTCTAATTTTGTTTTATAAAATAAAAAAATAGTAATTTAGATCTGATAATTTTATGAAAATTGTGAAATATGGACGTGTGTATATTGAATCTGTATTGATATATATATATATGTATGTATATATTTCAAATCTCACCTAATCAAATATTTGCAAAAGATATGAAACATATTCGTTTTTATGACTTTTACATAAATATTAAGATTGTTTAAGAGTTCTATATCATGTATGTCACTTTGGTGTAATTTTTGTAAATTCATATGCGAGATATTATTCTTAAGTAACTGTTTAGTGGTGATTCATAGTATGATATTATATATGATTTGATGGGCACTTGGATAAATCGAAAATTTAATAAAAGTCATATGACCTAATTGTTGTGTGTCGCCCACTTTACATGTTAAAATTAATTTGTATAATTTATAAATTATGCGTTTGATTTCTTACCCAAAAAATAAATAAATAAATAAATAAATAAAAACGTCATTGTTTTTATTTTTTTATAATTAAATTACAAATTGCATGACGGGTTACAGATTGCATTATTATTAATAAATAAATAAAGTTTTAAAGGTGGACAAATATTTATTTTTGTAGTCCCAGTTGGAGAATCTTTTTTTTTTTTTATTAATATGGGTAATACTACCAAAGTGGTTAACTCATTGAGATTTAAAGTGATTTTCCAATTAAGATTCTGAGAAGCTCTTCTAATATTATATCACTCAATTACCTACCCAAAGCGGGTTAATTGAGTGTATTAATTTTAGAGGTGGCGTGAGCCTCTAGTAAGAGAAATTTTATTGATTTTGAAAGAAATTAAAGAATTTATCTACCCAAAGAAGATAATTTCTTGATAAATCATTCTTTCTAGTTGACTTGTTTATAAGTGTTAGAATGTGTCTTATATATTTAGCCCAAAGGTATTTATATGATGATACATTCTAAAACATTTAACAATATTGTTAAAGTTTATTTGCAGCCCATTGTTGTGAGATTATAATTATTGCCCATATATAATTAATTAAGATTATATTGAAGTTTAAAGATGTTGATTGTATTCTATATATTCAACCCAAAGGTGTTTATATAGTGATCCATTCTGGCACATCTGAGAATATTGCTAAAGTTTATTCGCAGCATATTCTTGTGAGATTATACTAATTGCCTATGTATAACTGAAAGTTAGAGTTGTGAAAATACTTTCTATATATTCAGTTTAAGAGTGATACATTTTAAATATTTGAGAATATTAATTGTAATTATGAGATTATTATTGTCCATATATAATTGAATGATATTATATTGAATTGAAAGCAATGAAGAGAGATATTTTTATGAAAATCAAATTTACTCCATTAAAGCTTTGATTGTGAATCCGTAAATGAATATTGACTTAGTTTTAAATCTAACTAATTTAGATGTTGACATACTCGAGAATGTATCTTCTTAACCATTTATTAAGACCTCAATATAGTGTGAAAGATTGAAATTATATTCAATGTTAACTATTTAAGAAAGTAGAGTTTTAAAATATTCACTAGGTCATTCTTATAAGAAAATCTAAATTATACTCTACAATGCTTTATATAATACCTTCGACTTTTACAAATCGTTATCTTTCTTCAGTGTTTTATGTTTTCCTTTTTAGAATATTCCGCAAATCTCTTTATATATTATTAACTCAAGTAAGAAAAATTCTTTAGAATTTTTTGTGAGCTATGATGCTCATCCCACCTTCGGAATCTCCTTATTTATTTTTTAAACTGCTTAAAAAAAAATGCTTGTGTTAATCAAAATTTTATTTTCTGGTCAAGTTATTTAAGTTATAGTTTAGTACTGATCTTATTTTAAAGAATGTTATTTTTATATCATCCATGAGATAAAATTCAATTTTAATGTCAACAAAATAAGCATTGTTATTATTTTTAATTTTGGTAATAAATAAAATAAAAATAATAATAATTGAAATAGATTTTCATTTATCATAAGGCGTGTGGGAGAAATTATTTTTTTGATTTCATAAATGAGTATTGATGTTATGCATTTGTCTAATCTCATTTATGTTCAAAAACACACTGATAAAGTTTTTTTAAAATTATTAATTCAAGGTAGATATTATAGTGAACATGATAATTTTGGTTAATGTAGTAACCTGTTATTAATTTTTTACAAAATTGTGAAATCAATTTAAATATATCATGCTTGTAACTTCGAAAGAAAGTTGAATACTTGAGCATCGTAATTGGACTCTAATAAAATGATGAGGTGTAGGTTAACATGTTTAAATTATACAAGTTTTTGTGATAAAATATTTTTAATTGCTATGTATACTTGTGTATACTTTACATATGGTATTAAGTTAAAAATATTTTTAAAACACTTTCGAATTGCGAACTAATATAAAATTTAGTTAGAATAACTTTTGAGTTTGGGATTGTACAGAAGTAAAAATTTGTTGTGCTTTTGAAATTAAAATGGGACTTATTGCTATTTGTTGTTACTTTTATAAGTTGTCAATGGTTCTATTATCTTGATTCTGACATATGAATCTTTTAAGCTTTTAAAATGTGAAGTTATTAGATTGGTGAATAGTTTAAATATATAAATCTTCCTGTATACTTGTGTCTATTATAATAAATTGGTCCGTCCATTCTCACATAGAGAAAGTGAGAGTGCAAGTAGAGAAAGTGAGAGTGCAAGTAGAATCTAAAGTGTTTATTCAGTATACTGATAAAAGTTGAACATGTATAACACGTTCAACCTTCTAGACATTCTCATACAATTAAAAGATCCTTACGATTATATTATTTTTCTAAATGAGCAATATCTAGAGATTGAAGAGATAATTGTTACGTATGATGAAGATACTGGCGATTTGTAATATGGTAAATGAATTGGTACAAATTATTAATTAGATATGAGATCATGTTATACTTTTTTAAAGGGTTTGAAATCTAATGAGTATTTTTTTTTAAGATAAATAAATAAATACAAAACTATTGTAAGAGGTTGCGATTTGAAAAGAGTATTATTCTTACCAATGTCATAATTATAGGTTTATAATGATTATAGTGGTATTGTGACTTTTTTTTTTTATCTATTGCTTCACCAAAAAAAATAAATTTGATTTGTAAGATAAACAAATTTATCTATGGTTTTAAACGAATTTCTGAGTAATGATATTTAATGGTTCACCAAATATTATCACTTGGCTTTATGAATAATACTATTAATTTATGCATATATCTCAAGGTCAGTGGGAGCAATTTATTGTTCTTGATCCTTTATACCGATGGAATTTTACTTATTAGTAATAATTTCAAATTAATAATTAATGTGAAGATATTGTTGTTAATAAATTTTTGATATGAAATATCTTGATAAAGTATTTTATGTGTTTGGCATTAAGGTACTTGAAAATAACTTAGAGGACTATTTGTCTCATCTCAAAGAACATACCTAGATCACATTTTTACTGAATTTAATATGCAGAATTGAAAGCTTTATGTTGCTCTTCTTAGTGATTGAGACTAATTAACATTCAGTATTCATAAAATGATTTTGAGAAAGAGTTCATGAGGAATGTCTCACATTCTAGCGTTGTGAGAGTTTAATGAATTATGAAGTTTGAATTAAACTTGGTGCATATGTAATTAGTTTGTTAGACAATTATTATTTAAGCCTTGACCATTGGGTTGAAACATATAAAGTGTTATGATATTTATAGAGAATTAAAGATTATACGATTGTCTATAAAAGAATTAATCATGTTAATATTATTGATTGTACTATGTCGACTTTGGTAGTTGCTCAAATAATATGGTATCTATTATTGGTTATAGTTTTATGTTTGCATGATGTGTTGTTTCATGAAAGAGTTTCATAAAATCTCTTATAATTTTTCACTATGCAACATGTTTTAGAGCTCGACTTGGGTTATACAACTAAAGAATTTTATTTCAGAGCTTGGAATTATTAATTTTATTTCTAAACCTATAAAGATGTATTATGCTATATGGTTTTAATTTTCTTTATGAAGAATAACAAAAACTCTGATGGTGTTAAATACATAATTTTAAAGTACTTCAGAATTGGAAAGTTGTTAAAAATGGTATTCTTTATGAGCACATGTTACAGAATACATACTAATTGATCCTCTAAATAAAGGGCTTAGGCCAAATTTTAATTTGCCAAATATATTAGACATATGGATGCTTTACAGTTTTTTATGTGCTTGGTTAAAGAAATTTTTTACCCATGAATATTATCTGTGGTGTATTTCAGTTAATAAAGTTTAATGTGTTTATTCACATTTTG